CTGGGTAGGGTTCCGGCTGCTGGTGGGACATTGTGCGGTGTTGGCGGGTGGAGTGTTGATCGGAGCTGTAATTAGGAGGCGCCAGTGGCGGAGAGTCTGTAGCGTTAAGGTGGTTTCAAGGTCAGGTAAGGGTTACGAGGGGGTCAATCTGGTAGAGAGGATCGAGAAGCTGGAAGAAGATTCCCGGAGCTCCAAGAGGATAGTTCAAGCCTTATCTAGGCAGCTTGAGAAGCTGGGAACTCGTTTTCAGGTCAAAATGAGGAACTTTAAGGACACTATAACCCAGGTAATTATTCGTATCAATTTTGGATCAAATTAAACATTTTTTGCCGTTTCGATGCACTATAATGGAAGTGTTTTTTCATCCCAGAAAGGGTTATTTTTTGAGCTTCTGCAGACCATTGAAGTAAATTCAGATTGTATTATTGACTACTCTTTCATTTGCTTGCAGACTGCAGCATTGGCCCAGAGGAACTCTGAGGCTACTAGATCATTGGCTGTGGAAGGGGAGATTCTTGAGAGAGAGCTTCTTGAAATACAAAGGGTCTTACTGGCAATGCAGGTAGAATTTTTTGGCGGATGATTGGTTCTATTTTTTAGTAAGTGCAGCAATGCATCAAGGGTCTAGCGAAATCTTGACCCCTATAGAGTTGGCATTGGGTTTTGTTTTTGCTGTTGTTGATGATTTCCCTGAGGAATGAAATCAATTTAATTCGGAGTAAATGATGATTTCTTGAAGTGATTTTTGTTTCTAATATAGGTCAATACGATTTCCTTGAAGAACAAAATCAATGTCTTCGAACACCTACTCACTATTCAAAACAATAAATGGAAATGAGAGGAGAAGAGTTAAGCTGATAGATAAGAGAGGAGTTGAAGGCTCGATGCCATCAACACCTCTACAACTTTACTTATAGATTCCATTTGCTTTTCTTATTTTTGAAAAATGCTCTTTTTCTTTTAATTTGGTTGCTCAATTTTCCTTTCTATTTCATATTCAAATGATTCTTGAAATCCGATCGCAGAAAAAAAATTCTCGTTTGGGGTTTGGGCAAGTGTTTCAAATCTTCTTTATAGTGAAGAATAGTTTCCATGTATTCAATGATTTTATTTTCATATGTGAAATTAATAATTGTTGGATTACCCGTCGTTCTTGATTATGATGATGATGATCATCATCATCATCATCAATCTTGCTTATATTTAGATTACCCGTCGTTCTTGATTAGCTCTCTCTCGTTCTCATATCTCACTTTCCATTGCATTCTTGAATATATCTGCAGGACCAACAACAGAAACAGCTTGAACTGATCCTTGCAATTGGGAGAACTGTCAAGTTATGGGACAACTTGGATTCACCCTCTCAAGATCTCTGCCGGGATGATGTTGCGCCTAATAATACAACGAATTCAGCTGTTGTCTGAGGGACTGAACTAAACAAATGCAAACTTTGTTGATTGATTGTAAAGAGACACACAGACACAGAGAGCAGAGATACAGAATGGTTTTGCTTTGGTCAAAAACCAGATAATCCCCTTAAAGCCAATCAGAAGAGATGGAATTATGGTGTGTGAAACCCATTCTGGTGAGGTGGAGAATATGGACAGATGAAAATGAAAAAAAGAAGTTAAAAAAAGGAGTATAAATTTGGCTTTCCAGTGGATCCATTCGCTGGTGATGTTAGTGTCATCGGTTATTTTGAGTAACTACTTTTACTCAGCAAAAAAAGTGAGTAATATTTGAATACTATATCAACTTTCAGCAATTCAAATACTAACACTAGTATTCAAATGTTTAAGAATTTACAGAAGTCCATCTGAACTCTGGATGTCATAATATTGAATGCTTAAAGACTTGCAAACCAAACTAGAGTTTTACATGCTTTTGTAGTATTCAAATACTACCTGAAACAATGTGTTAGTTCATATCAACAACGATGTCTAATCGGTTTTGCATTCTAAATATGAGAGCCTATTAGTATGTTTCGTACATAGGATGACATTTGCTTCATCTAAAACAAATCTGATTAGAAACTTTTTAAGTACCGCCAAAATAACCTTAATATAAGTGTTTACACTATTCTTAAACTCTATTAAGCATTTTTAACTTATATTCTAAAGCCTTTAATGCTGCAAGACAACATGTTTACCCCTCCAGTATATCCTATAAATGTTGTGGGCAACCTTATTAATTTGAGCCAATACATAGCCCACTCATAATTCAAGTACAGTATAAGATGGCCCGTAAGGAAGCTAAGTTAGAAGTTACGAGGGCAAAGAATGCATCTTTTGAACGCCTTTATAAGGACATAAAGGAGTAGGGTGGTGATAAACTGATAATATACTTTTCTGGCTACCTAAGGCAAGTGAGAGAAAGGCTCGGGATCTAGATCATGTGAGATGCGTGAAGGGCAGCGATGGTATGGCAGAGTGTTGTTTAAGACTGCAAGGGTGGCAAATCGATGGGGGAGTAATTCCGTGGACTCCTAAATGTGGGAAGAGATTCAAGGCTAGAACTAAGTGAGTTGGGACAGGAGGCATTTCGTGACTTTGAGTATTGCCGGCGCATTAGTAAAGAGGAGGTGGCTCGGGCCATCTGCATGATGCAAGTTGGGAGAGCCTTGAAACGGATGAGATTCCAGTAGAGTTTTGGAAGTATGTGGGCCACGGTGGGTTGGTTTGGTTAATCAAGCTCTTCAATATTATATTCAAGACCGCTAGGATGTTTGGCGAGTGGAGGGAGAGCGTGTTGGTCCCTCTTTTTAAAGGTAGGGTGACCTTCTGAGTTGCGAGAATAAAAGAGGTATCAAGCTGCTTAGCCACACTATGAAGGTTTGGAAAGAGTCATTGAGTGTAGGCTGCGGAAGGGGTGCACATTTTTGAGAACAAATTTGGTTTCATGTCTGGTAGATCAACCACAGATGCTATTCACATATTACGGTGGTTAATGGAAGAGTATAGGGCTAAGAAGAAGGACCTTCATATGATGTTTATTGATCTCGAGAAGGCATACGGGTACCAAGGAAGGTTTTGTGAAGGTGTCTTGAATCGAGAAGCAAAGACTAGGGTAAAGATTATCAGGGGTGACTCTAAGCCTTTCGCCGTAGAGGTAGGATTACACCAAGGGTCTGTCGTTAGCCCTTGCTTGTTCACTCTAGTGAAGGACATCTTGACACTTGAAGTTCAAGGAGAGGTCCTATGGTGCATGTTTTTTGGTCATGATATTGTGTTGATTGACAACACCCGCTAGAGACATAACGACAAGTTAGAACTTTGACGCCTTTCCCTAGAATCCAAAGGATTCAGATTGTGTAGGACCAAGAGTGAATATTTGAAGTATTGTTTCACTGGTCACGAGACATAATCGAGGGTGAAAGTTAGAATTGATTCACATCCATTGTCCAGTAAACAAGTTCCAGTATCTTGGATCTGTCATTTAGTCGGATGGAGAGTTGGACGAAAATGTTGGGCATCATGTTGGAACAGCTTGGGCAAAGTGAAGATTGGCTTCAGGGTTTTGTACAATAATAAGGCCATGGGGTATGGGACGGGAAGGGCCTTCCGGAAGCTTGTGTGGCATCAGGGGGAAGAAGGGGAACACACCCCCCGTGGGAACGGGAAAGATGGGTTCCCTTCCCGTTTTTCTCCTCAATTTTCCTGTGTTTTCCTTTTCTTTTTTTTTTTCTTTCCTTCATTTTCATTTTTTCCTCTGTTCTTCCACGCAACTTCTTCCTTTTCTTCTTATTGTTTTTTTTTTGTTTTATTTTTTAGATTTACGTTTTAGTTTTTGCTCTTCATTTTTTTATTTTAGTTATTAATTGTTTTGTAACTATTTTACTTTTTTGTTAGCTTTGTAATTTTATTTTTACTTTTTTAAAATTTATTTTTTTTTTAAAGATTTTATATTTTTGTGTTTTTTGGTTAATGAAATGTAAAAAAAACTTTTAAGAAAAAAAATTCAATGAAATTCTAATTTTTTATGTGCTTTTAACATTAATAAAATATTTAATTTACATTTTTAGTTTAAGTAATTTAATATAAATTAAGTGTTAAAAGATAATATTAAAAAATGAAAAAGAAAGAAGAAGGGAAGAACAACCAAAAAGGCTAAAGTGACGCTGAATTGGTAGAAGAACCACACCCCCATAACCTAACTAGTACTCCGTCCCACTGTCTTTGTCCATTTTTGACTTTTGGAACTGTTCATCTAAGCACTTTGACTCATCAAATTCTCTCAATGTGTAAGCCTAAAAATAGTCATGTGTGATCTTGTTTGATTCGTCTTAACATATAGATTATTAATATATAATTTTTATAATTTTTTAATATACAAATTACAAGATAAAATGTACTCCGGGGTATTAAAGAAGTGCATTGGATGGTGTGCCAAAAGGTAAGTGGACAAAGACAGTGGGACGGAGGGAGTATTTTCTTTAGTTATTTGATTAAAAAATATAGTTCTGTCACCTCTTGACTCTTGTTTTGTAGAACTTTTGATGTAGTTTTTAAATATATAAATTTTATTTTTTAATTTTACAATTAGGGTCCGTTTGGTATATGGAATTGATGGATTTGGAATTGAAATTCCAATGGAATAGAATTGAATTCATCAATTTCAATTCATTTTTTCCATTACCAATTCCAAATTCACATAATTTTTGTGCTACCAAACACCAAAATCGAAATTGAAATCCTCAATTCCAATTCCATAGTTTGAATTCCGTATACCAAACGGGGCCTTACAATCAAAGAAATTGAATTGAAAATAAAATAAGTCAAACCTCATAAATAAAAACGAGAAGAATATTTTAAGACGGAAGAAATAATGGTAACAAATTTTTGGGGGAAGCAGGGCCTCTGCTGGCCCCTCACTAGCACGCTTCTATTTTAATTGATGTATTCATTTGGTGGATCCAACAATATATGGATGTTATAATTTACTTAAATGTGTGATCACGTGACCTGTTTAAAGGTTACTTACAACTTACAACTTACTTAACTCCATATGAGACTTCTTTTTTTTTTTCTTCCAATTTAAATCGCATATTTCAGTTTACGATATTTGACTAAAGATATTTTCAAATCATTTTATATAAAAAATGGTATAGAGTTAGATGAAAATTATACATTTTAAAACTACATCAAAAGATCTACAAGACTAGTGGTGATAGGATTATATTATTTTATCAAATGACTAACAAAAATAGGGAAAGAAAATGAATAATGCTTAGCCGTGAGAATAGTAAATAGATAATTTAATTTGAAACGGATAGAATATAATTCTTCATCGCAATATAGTTATCTAAATTTGATATGTCATGAACTTTAAGATCAACGAATTTGTATTATCAAAAATGATACCGTACATAAAATAGAAGGAAAAAAAGAGCCAAAAATTTAAAAAAAATGACTCTTTTTTCAATGTCCCTAAAAAGAAAATAAAGACTATTATTTCAAGAAAGGAGTAATATCCATTTTGAATTATAAATTGATATGATTTCAAAATTAATTAATCTAAACATTGTGTAAAATTCAAAATTTTCATGCTTAAATTAGTGTCGAATTCTTTAGACTAAAGATGATAATTAGAGCACTGGAAATACCCGTGAAGCCTGGGGGCTTCAAAATTTCTCTCTCTTCCACGTCAACTTTAACTTACCCCACAGATTCAGTGGAAATGGGTTTTAAGCACCGGGGCTTCAAACAGGGGCTTCAAAGTTCAAACCTTCATTTTTTACATTTTTAAATATACATCTTCTAAAACTAAATTAATAAAATTTAATTATTTTATTATTTAATTATATTGAAACAAGAATAACTAAAAAATTACATTCATTAAATTTAAAAAAATTGAAACAAAAATAATTTAAAAAAATTACATTCATTGAATTAAAAAAAAGAAAGCAACAATAATAAAAAAAGAGAGTTGGAGAATTGGAGAATTGAAGAAGATGTGAAGAAGATTGATAGCTGTGAGGATTGGAGATTGAAATGTGTGAGAATTGGAGGAGATGAGTTTGAAATTTATAAAAAAAATTAATTTTTTATTATTATTGCAACGGCTACTTTAGCCGTTAGAATGGGGAGGCGTAGTGTCAAACATCTGACGCCGAAGGGATGAAGCCCGTTTCACGCCCTCGTGGGGCAGTGTTTATCGCCCCCCAGGCTTTAATAGTAGGGTTGACGCCGGTGGGCATCACACCCGTTTCCACTGCCCTTAGAATTAAAGTAGTATGGAGTATCAAAGGGCGTTAACCTGGGTTCAGACCCAGTCCTAAAATAAACAATATTATTGGTTCGGTCCTTATGCTCGTCACTAAACCTAATAACATTTTTTTAAAAAAAATATTGCTTTAAACTCTCTGTGTTTCAAAAAAATCGTAGAAATATATTTTTAATTATAATGTATACCTAATACTCCCTCCGTCTTAAAATTAACTTCCCATTTGACTTTTCACAGTCTCCAATGCGACACTTTGACCATTAATATCTCCATTTTTATATGAATATATATTACAAAAATAACATATTTCAAAACTATGTTTCAAAATGAATCTATTGATAATAAATTTATACGGAGTATGAAAATTCAATATATTTTTTCCGTAATATACAGTCAAAGTTTAAAAACTTTGATTACAAAAGTCAAACTGGGAAATTAATTTTAGGACGGAGGGAGTATAATTGAGTTCAACTTAAGATATGATTGTAGTATATCAAAAATTTCTAACCTTTATTTATTTAAAATTATATTTATTAATAGTCAAAGTGTAGACACCTAACCAAAAAAATCAAATTGAGATTTTTTTTTGGACGGAGAAATTTATCCAAAACTTTTACAGTACAATATATATATACAAAATGAAGATTATTGTAAAAATAGAAAAATAATACTCGTAAATAATTTGAATCACTATCCTTCGACAAGAAAAATGGAATCACTCCGTTTAAAAAAGGTCATATACGTTATAATGTATATAAGTATATTATAATAAATAAAAAATGTATGTCAAAATAAATAAATAAATAAAAAGCTTATCCAAAAAGCTTTTGAATTCTCATTTCCCTAAATTGATCAATAAAGCCCTCCTCATAGGACTATAAATACCCCTCCATGCATGACCTATCTTTCCTCATCTGTCCTTTAAACATACTGAGTGAGTGAGTGAGTGAGTAACAGAGAGAGAGAAACAGAGAGAAATGGCTATGGCTTGTTTCCCCATTATTAGCCTGGAGAAGCTTAATAACACTCAAGAAAGGGCTTCCACTATGGCACTGATTAACGATGCTTGCCAAAACTGGGGATTCTTTGAGGTTTTTTTTATTAAAAAAACCTCTAAAAAAACTCTTCTTTCTCATTTAATATTATATTTTCTCTGGCATATTGTTAATTGTTCACATTGTGTTGCGCAGTTGTTTGTGTTGTTAACGAAATCTAGTTAAATAAGACTAAAGCATACTCTCTCCGTACTACTCCGTAATACATTCTGTCTAGTTTGACTTTTTGTAATCAAACCGGACAAATTTTAATCATCAATTACTCTAAATTTGTATTGCGTGTTAATACAATGAAATCAGTTCTGAAAATTCTCCAACAAGATAAATCTAATGAAATCATTATAATTATGATAACTTTTAAAAATTGATTTCATTAACAAAGGAGTCTGTTTCTAAGGACATGCTATAATGGTTCATGCTAATTAGGTGGTGGATCATGGGATACCAGTGGAGCTGTTGGACACAGTGGAGAAGTTGACAAAGGAGCATTACAAGAAGAGTATGGAGGAAAGGTTCAAGGAAATGGTGGCTTCAAGGGGACTTGATGGTGTCCAGGATGAGGTCAATGATCTTGACTGGGAGTCCACTTTCTTCTTGAGGCATCTCCCTTCCTCCAACATCTCCCAAGTCCCAGATCTTGAAGATGACTATAGGAGGGTGATGAAGGAATTTGCAACAGAGTTGGAAAAACTGGCTGAGAAGCTGCTGGATTTGCTGTGTGAGAATCTGGGACTGGAGGAAGGGTACCTCAAGAATGCCTTCTGTGGGTCACAGGGTCCTAACTTTGGCACCAAGGTCAGCAGCTACCCTCCATGTCCCAACCCAGACCTCATCAAGGGCCTCCGGGCCCACACTGACGCCGGCGGCATCATCCTCCTCTTCCAGGACGATAGAGTCAGCGGCCTCCAGCTTCTCAAGGACGGCCTATGGGTCGACGTCCCCCCCATGCGCCACTCCATCGTCATCAACATCGGCGACCAGATCGAGGTAACTTCGTCATCTAGCTGTCCAAAAACCCAACACAACCAAAAGTTCAAGCACAGAAAAGGTTTTTATTTTTATATTCTAACAAATGTTGTGCAGGTGATCACAAACGGGAGGTACAAGAGCGTGATGCACAGAGTGATAGCCCAGACGGACGGGAACAGAATGTCGATTGCGTCCTTCTACAACCCGGGGAATGACGCCGTGATCTATCCGGCGGCGGCGCTGGTGGAGAAGGAAGAGGAGAAGGGGAAGTATCCACATAAAGATCCTTTCTCTGCATTGCAATCATTTACCTCTAAAGATGGTACTAAAAGGGCATATCAAGTGCTTTCTCATGAGAAACCAAGGAAAAAGACAACGGACGCAAGTGCAAAAATTGCAAAACAATAGAGAAGTGTCGATGCAGCATTGAAAAAAAGGACATTCCACACATAGTTTTTAAGTAATTCTTCATATAAATTATCCATATAAAAACACATCGGCGAGAAAGGACAGATTTAAAAAACTAAAAAAGACCTTGATTAGTTGCATAAACTCGCTGCATTGGTTGTTAATGAGCTCCTTCCTAGGCCCGCTTGGCTTTGCCAGTTCATCCATAACTCCACCCGCAAGCTCCAAAACCTTAACTATCCTCTGCCATTAAAACCAACCAAACGTTAACCGTAAGAATTAACCATATGCATTCCTGCAGATTTTACATTAAAATTGCATCCACATGTATAACCTTTTCAACATTCTGAAGCCTCTGCAAAGATGAATTTTGAGATAGGGAGTCCATCATGCTATGTGACAAGAATCGAATGATAGTTACAGATTAAGAACTGTTCTCCGAACCTAAATATCACAGGTTCGAGCAAAACAACCTTCTCCTACTCAAACAAATACATTATAGTAGGCCAATCGTCATTTAGATTTCTCCAAACACTTTCACTTTTCGAATTCAAAATTCATACTATCCAAAAACTCACAAAAAATGGCCTTTCAGCTTCCGTTGGTCTGTGATAGGAGACGTTGGTGACCAATGTCGAACCGGTCTCAGTTGCGATTTAGACAGGGTTTCGTTGACTGCAACGTCGGATTCAGAGATGGAGCCGCTTGTTGGGCTTGGATTCGGCAGATTCGTTGTTTCAGATTTGAGAGTGAGAGAGAGAAGGGCCGGGGCTGCGGTCTGGGCGACGGAAGCTTCTGCAGTTTTGGCTTCGATCCGAATAGATGCTTGACTTTGGAGTTCGGCCTTGACTGCTTCAATGTTGCTTCGCGCCTTCGCCGCAGCTGAATTGAGAGAGAGAGAGAGATCGAGCGAGAGAGACGATAGTTGGATTTGAGATTGGGCACGCGGACTGCTACCCTATATTGTTCACGTTTGGGCTTTTGCTCTAACTCAATTTACTATTTTCAAATAGATTAAATTTCATAAAAGATTCCCAATTATATGTTGTTTTATATATTTAATTTCTACATATCAAATATTACTAATTTAGTCTTCAATTATTATATTCATTTCCACGAAGGATCCTTTTTTAACATTTCCATTAAGAACGTGGATAAAATTGTAAATTCACACTCCTTTCTCTTCTCAATTAAGTTTCCTCCCTCGCCTCGCACTCCTTTCCCAAACCCGTCACTGGATTTGAAACTTTGAACCCAAAATCGAAATCATCACTCATCTCTCAATTATTTGTCTAACTGGTGGAACCCAAATTTGAAACTAGTAACCTTCATGAATGAATTTTAATGTTTATTTTATTTGTAATTTCTTGAGACTAACCGATAAAACTCATCTATAAAGCTTATTGGTTTTGATTTTAGGTTCCACGAGGAAGACTAATAATTGAGAGAGGAATGATCATTTCAGTTTTGGGTTCAGAATTTCATACTCAACGACGAGTCTGGGAAAGAGTACAAGAGGAAGGAGTAAGCTTAATTGAGGAGAGAGAAGTATGAATATATAATTTTATTTATGTTCTTAATAAAAACGTTAACAAATGACCATTCGTGAAAATGATATAATAATTGGAGACTAAAATAGTAATATTTGATGTGTAGGGACTAAATATGTAAAATGACCTATAACTGGGAATCTTTTATGGAATTTACTCTTTCAAATATTTTTTTTGCTTCAATTTGGTCTTCGGCTAGTTTTTTTTAATTTTTTGCTCCGGAGTAAATATAGTTTGGGTAAGTCAAATATAAAGTAATAGAACAAAAACCTAAAAATATAACAAGTGAATAAAAACTACTACGGAGTATTTAAATAAGGGACGATAAAGGAGAAGTCCACTGGTGCATACTTTAAACCGACGATATTGTGCTTATCGTTGTGCTTATGAGGGGCTAAATGACAAGGTGGAACTTTGGCGCCTTTTCTTTGAATCCAAAGGGTTCAGACTGAATAGGACCAAGACTGAATACATCGAATGTTGTTTCACACGGAAACAAGGGTGCAACTGTGGAAGTAAGGATTGATTCTCACCTGGTGGCTAAGGTAGATAAGTTTTGGTATCTTGGCTCGGCCATTCAAGCATATGGGGAGTTGGACAGGTATGTAGTACATTGTGTTGTAGCAGCCTGTGTTAAGTAGAGGTTGGCTTTAGGGGTTCTGTTCCATCAAAAGATTTTGGCTAGGATGAAGGGTAAAGCTTTATCGGTCTGTATCATGCAAAATGTTGGGCATTAAAGAAAATCCATGTTCATCGACTTCATGTTGCGGAGATGAGGATGTTACGATGGATGTATGAACAGACAAGATTGGATAGGTCTCGAACAAGGGTACCTGAAGACGGGTAAGCATGACACTTGTGGAAGACAAACTTCGGGAAGCTAGGTGGAGGTGGTTTGGACATGTGAGGCAGCAGAATGTTGACGCTCCTATGCAAAGATGCAAGAGGCTTACGATGGTAGATGGGACTACTGGAATGGGTAAATCTAAGAGGACCTCGAAGAAAGTGATTAAAAAGGACTTAGGTCTTCTTGCCCTTAGTAAGGATATGACCTTATATAGGAGTGTTTATGTAGGGTTCGAGATATTGGTCTTAGTTTTCAAATTTGGTCATAATAGTGTGGGAAAGTGTGTCTCGACATGTTATTATTGACCAATGTAACCTATGTCTAAGATTTAGTGGATAGCTATTACACGGGAATGGGCCCTACAGACATATGAGGATTTCTTTTGACCTGTGTAAACAACTCTTTATGTTTGTTTGCTACTTTTGCTTTATTTCCTGCTTGTGATGGAGAAGATGATATAACACTCTGTTTGTCATCTATTTCTGTACATGACATTTTAATTGGTTATGCCTGTTACACTCTAGATATTTCAATATGTATTTGAAATTTTGGTGGAGTATATAGCCTACATTTTTTGTTTTCTTGATTGCCTTCAGCATGGTCTTTGATTCACCCAAGTAATGCTCCAAACTTGTGTGCATAAACAGAAGAAATTAGATTGAACTAAAACTTACCATTTCAAGGTTCCTTGAGCCAGCCCATGAGTACAATCCAGGGCTTTAAGCCTTTACCATATTTGGGACCACTTGCTTCATTATTATGTTGTTGCCTTAGGTCAAAATTTATGATGCATAGTGAAATGGATTATTGACAATCATCAAACTTCTGCCAAATGAGCCTCTCTCTTCCAACCATATGGCGCTAATTGACAAGCCATTCCTCAAGAGTTTGACTTTTTGGCCATGTGAGAAAGTATTTCACTTTTAGAAGAGTGGTGTTAGAAACCCACTACAGTTGACACCATGAATGATAATCATCTATGAATTTGTAAATGAACACACGATAACCGTTATGAGCACAGAGAGTTCACATGCGATTACTGCCCATGTGTGTATCAAAATCCAAAGACGATTGTCACCGGTGGTGTCAACCGTAGTGGGTTTGTAGTTTGTAACATTTTTAAATTTTGGACCGTGTCACATACCGGCTATCCATGCCACTATCGATGACAATGCAGATGATTTTATATCTATACAGACGATAATTATACGTAAACAACACAAACGATATAGAAATAGTTCTTAGGATGTTTATTTGTTTTTTTGTATATATAGTGATAGAGGCCATCAGAATCCCCCTCCCCCCTCCCAATGGTTCAGTGTACACACGTGATGACAGACAAGTTTCATTCACTTTCACCAAATATTCCCCCTCCAATATATTGATGTCCATGCAATTTTTTTTTTTACCCAGAACCTAAGGCATCTCCACTGTTTAAAAAACCCCTCTCCATTCACAGGTGGGGCTACTAGTGTCCTCCCACTCACAATTCACTACAAGTAGTGTTATTATTGTTATTATTATTATTATTATTATTATTATTATTATTATTATTATTATTATTATTATTATTATTATTATTATTATCTTCTTACATTGTGGAGTCCATCAGAATTCAACCACTTGTGAAAGTAAGAGTTAAAAATACTTAACTGGGTCTGTGTAGGACCACTCTCAAATTGAGAAAAGTACCAAATGAAAAAGTCAAAGTGTGAAAATTAGGAATTCTTTAATTTTGAATTCTCATAGCTCTCTCATCCTAAATTTATAATGCACCACTTCTTCGACTACAGTATGTCAGTATAGTATTTTTACATGCTACCTCTGTCCCTTAACTGAATTCACATTGCAACTCACACGGACAAGACAAATTTTAAAAGAATTCTCGATGTCATGTGGATTGCAATAAGAGAGATCGCTAGATATAAAAAGTGATTGAAACGGGTATCTGGTGCATTAGTTACACCAAATATGGAATGGAAGTGTGAATTCAGTTTTGGGACAGGCAAAATGTGAGTTTAGAGGGTAAGAAAAGTGGAGCACTTGGAAGAAACAAAGTGTGGCTTGGTGAGGTTAGGGGAGAAGTCAATGGAGTGTTGAGTAGATGATGAATCATGGGGTGGGAAAAAAATGGGACCTTTTGGGGATCCCAGCTGCTGCTGCTGCAGTCCTCTTGCTTTGTCTCCTCTCCCAACATCCTTGTCATCATTACTGTTCTTAGCATGATAGAGAAAGAGAGAGAGAGAGAGAGCATTGCTGTCTGTCTTCACATCTCACTGCATTAAAAGCTCTCTCCCTTTATGTGTTTGTTGGAAACTCCAATTACTATTTTCCTTTTTTTTTATTTCTCCATCCACTTAAAGAAAAAGATTCAATTTTGCTATCAAATTTGGGTTTTCTTTCCCATTTCCAACTCAAAAGAAACACAGTAACATTTATATATGATGTATCAGCAGGCTGACACAACATTACATTTATTCATTACATAATAAATTGCAGAACATAAACCCTTACAACAAAGACAATTATTGAGTTTGTTTGAGGATAATAATAATAAGACTGATAAACAATGGTATACTCATATCACTTTTACAACAAACAACATTCATAACCCTGTTTTTTTTTTCTGTATGTGAAAAGTTTCAATATGTCTCCCATAGCCAGAAGAAGAAGAAGAAGGCTTCAAGGAGTTCAAGGAGATTGAGGCCAATCATAACCAGCATTCATACTATTGGACCCATCATAAAACCACATCTCAACATCTTCAACACCTTCGCCGACTTCCCACAGCCCATCATCATCTTCATCACCATCATCCATGTCCCATGGATAGAACCCAGAAGAGTCAGAGCTATCAGAGCAATCGTCCCACCTGTCCATCGCGTAGCAGTCGACAATCGCGGGCCCCACAACCTTAAGCCCCGGAAACTTCTTCAAGAACTCTTCGTCTAGGCTGACGCTCCAACAACCTCGGACATCCAGCAGTTCAAGCTGAGGGCAGCTCTTGATGATCTCCACAACACACTCCGTGCTCACCAGCATGTAGGCAATCTCAAGCTGTTTGAGGTTGGGCATTGCGTCAGCAATGGCTAATGCTTCGTCGTCCTGGGAGATCTTGTCAATGACCTCTAGAGGGTGCATTGTCCTGCGAAGAGATTTGAGGTTCTTGCAGTGCGTCCCGAAGGCATCAAGAGCTATCTCCCCCATGTTGTTGCAGTAGCTGATGTCTAGCACAGTCACATTGCTGAACTTCTCAGCTAGCTCATCCACCAAACATTCATCAATTTCACTCCTTGGCAACCCCAATGTGTGCATATGTTTGGCACTAAACACCAAATCCCATTTGTTACTTTTATATATATTTTTTGTTTCGGAAACTGAGTAAACTCGCGCTAAAAGAGACTAATGCATAAGAATGTGAGTTACTTCTGTCATTTCCAATTGGTTTTAGGTTGGGATCTCAAAACTCTACAAATGGTATTTTTATATTTCAGGCAAATGCAGTAAGAACTAGAGCAAAGTGATGATAGATGTGTAGACTTACTTGTCTGCAATGAAGGCGAAGGTGTCTTTATTGGAGACACAAGAAACACGGAGCTTACGGAGAGAACCTTGGCATCTGGGGATCAAAAGCCGAAGCATTCGGTCAATGTTTTCGGGCAGCGAATTCATGCTCCATTCCTCAATGTCTATCTCTTGCCAACAGTAGGGCCCAGCAACGGCTCTCTCCCATGATTTGCAGACCCTTGGGACGACGGTCAGCACGTCCTGGAGGGGAAGCTTCTGGAATATCAACCCAAGGGCATCCGGTATCAAATCAGCCCAGTGCCTAAAGTTGCTCTCGTCCTCCATTCTTGACTCTTGGCCTTCTTCTTCTGCTTTAATAGAGATAAAGAGATTTTCACTTCAAGAACACACAACTAAGGCCATTTGTGTGTGTCAAATGGATGTTACCACAAACCGTGTGTATGAAAGAGACCCTGAATGTGTTTTGCTTGTTTCAGGCCAAAATGACACCCAAAAAGGGAGAAAGAAATGCTCACTAAACTGAAACCATCCAAGGGAATTGATGGAGAAATTTATACCATTATTTTCTTCTTCTTTTTTTTCCTCTTATGTATCACAGACAAAAGCTATTCTGAAATCAATTGAAAAAGTATACATCTTTCCAACCTTCCATTTACACTAAATAAATGTCCAAATTAAGTTCAAATTCTATTCAGGAAGAGGGTAGTAATTTCAATTCAAAACTTCTTTGACTATATGGGGCATGTAAAGCTCCAGTTTTTGACACTTTGTGAAGCAAAGAACACAGAGCATCCTAGAAACAAGGCCAGAAAATGGATAAAATGTGAATGACTCATAAAATTTTTCAGTCTGAAAAGAAAAAAAAATCATAGAACCAAATCAAAGGCACCCAAGAAATCACAAACCTCAACAGAGAGGCATGTAACTCATAGATTGGACCCAGAAATGAAGAATGCTCACAAGAAACAATTGGCACCCGAAAGATCAAATCTTTCTGCTCAACTTGTGAAGGGAATTGAAAAAAATTACAATTTGGAAGCTTTTTAGTTCACTTTGAGGAAAAAGAACAGCACAGGTTCATTTTCAATCTTGAAGAAATTTATACAGGATAGTAATATATATATAAAAAAAATAAAATTTAAGAAATACCCAGTCCCTGGAGAAGTGAAGAAAGCGTGGCCACCTTTTGGATCTGTGAACTAGAGAAGGAAAAAGCACCGGTTTCTCCGGCAGAAATGAAGGAAGTAGTCACCCCTTTGGTGAGCTCTGATCGGTGGATGGTGGGGGTGCAGATTTTGTTTATTTATTTATATATTTATTATCAATAACAATAATATTAATATTATTATTTCTATTACTAGCACTATAAATAAAAAGAAAAAGAAAAAATAGAAGGGAAGAAGAGAAAAAAAACAAGAAGAGGTGAAAAAGAAAAAGAAGGATTCTTCTTCTGTTGCAGGAAAACGAGAAAAGGCGTGTCTGGTTTGAAAAAAAACAGGGCAGATATTTGCTATGATAATTAATTAATTATACTTTTAAAAAAATATACATTTTTATGTAGAGGAAAAAATGGTGGTGGGAAATGGTGCTTGTGCCTGATTAGAGGCGAGTCTTCATGGAAACGCTTTTGTTGGTTGGAGTCACATTTTTCCACAGAAAGTGAAATCTGTTATATAGTCACACGGAAACTCATGTAATTAATTATATTTAATTATTTATTTAAGTAATTAATTTATTGATTAATTTACGTTTATACCTTACTTAGTTTTCCTCGTGCACCTGGCCATTTTGTTAGGTGTCCATGATACAATACACCAAATTAAAATAATTTTATTGTTTACACTAATAATGAATTTAGAGGGAATTAGGGGATTTCAAAACGTTTAAAATGATGGAGGGTAGTAAAGATTATTTGCGAATAAAGATTAAATTCACAATCTACAATTATTGTGAGCTTATCAAACTCAACAAAGTTATGTGCAAGAATAAAATAAAACTATGAAATGTAGGTCCTGTTTCGGGTTAGCGTTAGAGATTGGCTTTACCGTTTTGAAATGATCGTTTTCAAAATAATTTGCACCGTTAAAATTTTATAAAAAACGCTAACGTTAATCTCTAACGTTATTTTCAAACAAGCCCGTAATATTCCCTCCGTCTCCATATTAGCTTTTTAATTACCATTTAGTAGTCAAAATATACATACATACATACATACATACATATATATATATATATATATATATATATATATATATATATAATTAATCGTTTATTAAAACAATACTTCGTATAATAATCCCATCTCTTGTTTTTAATAATTTTTATTTAGTTTTCAAATAATTGATAATAACTTTGTTTAAACTCTTTTTATGTATGTGTCAAATCTATTTTGAGAAAATACTTGCTATTTGAAAATAATGTTCAATTTAATATTTAGACTAACAAACGAAAGAAGCATTAAAATGATGTCAAAATTTATACTAAATTTTTTAAATGATCCTTTTTAATTTAGTATTTTCTCAAATTACTCTATTTTCAAAATAAAAAGAGTAAATTCCCAAAATAGTCCTTTGTAATAAGGGATTTTTCCAAATTAGTCCTCAATAAGTTTTAATTACCTACGTGGTCCTCTATAATTGAGATTTATTCCTAAAATAGTCCTTTGTAATAAGGTTTTTTCCCAAATCAGTCCTCAATAAGTTTTAATTACCTACATGGTCCTCTATAATTAAGATTTATTCCCAAGATAGTCCTTCGTAAATAATGTTACTCAAATGAGGATTAATTAAGGGTATTTTTTATCCATTAAATTTAGAATTAATTCTTAAAATAATCATTTATAATGAAGTGCTATCCCAAAATGGTTTTTCTAATTAAAGATGTGTGTTTGATTTGAAATTTAAAAGATTTTTTTAAGTATTAAATAATTCATAAATTATTTATAGTTAATGTTTTTTTTAAATTTTACATTTAGTCAATTAATTTCATAAATTAATTCATAAATGATTATTTCAAGAATATACTTTAAATTTTGATGATCAAAATACTAAAATATCTCCCAATAAATCATGATTTGAGTAACATTATTTACAAAGAATCATATTGAGAATAAATATCAATTATAGAGAACCACATAAGTAATTAAAATTTATTGATGACTGATTTATGAAAATACCTTACTTATTACAA